GTGTGTGTGTGTGTGTGTGTGTGTGTGTGTGTGTGTGTGTGTGTGTGTGTGTGTGTGTGTGTGTTTAACTTGTATAAATTTCTGAAACATGGAACATAATTTTTTCAAACTTTTCACTTGAAATGTAAAGTGTAACACACTGAACTGAATCTCGATAATGGTAATGGTATCGATTCTGAGTATCGGGGCATTTTGTATGAGTACAAGTACTTCTAAAAATGTGCATATCTGTATCAGGAAACTACTAATTTTACACAGACACAGTATATATTGAACTTGTCCAGCAAAATGATAAGTTATACTGTAAATAGTTCACAGATTTGGCCATGAGCCACTGTAGCCCACATGAATGGGGTGCCATCTAGGGTGCCCAGTGAAACAACTGGGGATTGAAGGACTTGACAGGGACCCAGAGTGGGGTAGATTTGATGTGGTGGTCAGGGGATTCAAACATGCAACCTACCTTTTACAGGATCATTTTCTCCAAATCAAGAGGTCTAGAAAGCTAAAGAAATCAACAACAATTCATTAGTAGGACACAATACCTGGATGTTTTAAAAATCTACCTAATCTACCTACTTCACAAGGGGAAATTGGAATCAATCAAACCACACAGAGTATGAACACATTTGTGGACAATAATAAATGTTCAGCAACCTAACAGTACACAATTAGCAGTCCCTTGAATGTCTACGTTTATTTTCAGTTTTCATGGTTTAAGTGAACGTAAAAGTTTTGGCATCTTTATTGTTATTTTCACATTTTGCCATCTCTGATTGTTGTCCAAACATGAAGTCAACTGTACAATTTATTGATCAAAGCATGTTTCTGTTTTGTATCATTTCTTTCATTGATGAAGTTTGAAAAAGTTAAACCTGAATATTCATCCCAAAAGGTTTATTTTGGAATGTTGCAGTTTCAGAGTTTCAGTGGGTAAAAAAAAAAAAAATCTAATGTTGGAACAAAAAACCTCCAGTTGATGTAAGGATGGTCTGAGATGCTGACTCAAAGCTGTGTGTGACCCTGATGGTAAGTGACTGGTCAGGCAGTCAGGTGTGTGCCAGGTGTGTTAGCAGATGTCTGCAACCMTCCTGCGGGGCCTCTGGAGTCATTTACTCCTAAATGAATCCCATCTGCCCGTCTTTGGCCCCTGAGATGGAGGCGTATAGAGTGAGACCCGTTCAGTGGAAGATGCCTGTGTTTATGTAGCGCTGCTGTCACATGCCTATTTATCAGGACTGCTGGAGCGTTCCAGCAGGGACACTCTGTCACTGTTCACGCTGTCATTGGTGTTGTGTGACGGATGCCAAAGTGAGTAATAGAGTGTGTGCTTGAATGAGGTAGCGTGTGTGTTTGTGATAGCTGAGTGCTCTGAGATGAGAGTGACCTCGCTGTTTTTTTTGTCCATTAAACTCCGACACATGGAACTCTTCAGCCTCTTTTATCTACAGTAGATTCCAAAAGTACTTGGTATTCTTTCTATTCTGTTGTTGTACAACCTGAATGATAAATAGATTTTCAATCTGATTATAAGTAATGGACCTACTCTAAATGCTGCACATTATTGAAGGTAAATAAGGAGGCAGGGCTTGTTTGAAATGTTGGAAATATTACATAAATAAAATGTAGTGCATACATACATACATA